AGAAAATGAAAAAGATGGAAGCAAAGGGGAGCAAAAGGAGCAAGAAGAGCAGGAAGAGGAGGAGGAACACCTCATGCTGCTCAGCTCAAGAGGGGAAGTTTGGCTCCAAGGGAAAGGACCAGCCATTGGTAAGGCTTTTAATTCCTCAGGGACTTGTTCTTGTGCAATATTGATATAAATTAAGATCTCATTGCTTTGAACTTCTGTGTAGCCAAGGCATGGGCATGGTGGTTAAGGTTCCAGCAGGGACAGTCACTGTGAAAATACCATAGATTGAGGACTGATCCATTTATGCAATATTGAAGAATGAACAGTTTATTAGGGGATAGTAACTAGTGTATGTTGAGAGAAGTGAACAGCAATATGGGTTTATGCCAGAAAAAAGCAATAGAGATGTGATGCATTCTCTGAGCCTGTTGAAGGAGAATGGTAGTGTATAAGGGAATCAAAAGTGATAGAGAAATATGAGAAGGCAGTGCAAGATAAAATATACCAGGACATTGTGATAGTGGTGAGATATGCAGTAGGTATAACTGTCATTTTCATGGTGGGAATAGATTTGCATCAAGGATCAGCTCATTTTCATGGTGGGGATAGAATTGCATCTAGGATCAGTTCATTTTTCATAGTGGGGATAGAATTACATCAAGGATCAGTGCATTTTCATTGTGGGGATAAAATTGCATCAAGGATCAGCTCATTTTCATGGTGGAGATAGAACTGTATCAAGGATCAGCTCAGAGTCCTGTCTTGTTTGTAGTGATGATGAATAGGTTGACAGATGTGAAAAGGCAGGAGTCTCCATGGACAGTGATGTTTACAGATGACAATGATTTATAGTTAGCCAAAGGAGCAAGTTGAAGAGAGTCTGAAGAGGTGGGGATATGAACTGCAGAGAAGAGGAATGAAAATCAAAATTTGTAAGAGGACTGGAAGAATGAAGGCAGAATGGCTTGATTGCTAGTAGTAGAGCTAGTGAATGTGGAAGAGTTTAGATAATTGGGGTCCATGCCTGCAAAGTAATGGAGAGTACGGGAGAGAGGTGAAGGAGAGGGTGCATTCAGGGTGGAGTGGGTATAGTATAAGGAGTGATTTGTCAGTGTGGTGCACATAGAGACAAGAGGTGGAGGTGGCAGGGCTGTAGGACTCCCACCTCTAATACCCAGGGACTGACCAAGGTCTATTTAAATGCTAGGGTATTCTGGGTTGCTTCCTTGACACAGACTGGATGAATTTAGGAGCATAAGTGGTGAGACCGTTCTTATATCAACATTGCTTGTTTATGTGTTCTTATGTGCACATGCAACAGTAAAAGAATAACAGCTATATTCTTAAACATCCACACACAGCCCACTTCACACTTTCCCACAGGGAAGTGTGAAGGTTTACTTGCAGTTACTAATTGTACTTTTATACTTATTATACTTCAAATGAATTTTCTTTTACTATCTCTCAGTCTCCCACTTCAAATTAATTCTGTTTTACTTTTTCTCTCTCAGTCTCTCTCTTTTTGACTCTCACCCTCACTCTCACTCTTATTCTCAGCCTCACTCTCACTCTCATACTCATACTCATACTCATTCTCACTCTCACTCTTGCTCTCTGCTTTACTCTCTGTGTCTGTCTGTCTCTCTGTCTCTGTCTGTCTGTCTCTCTGTCTCTGTCTGTCTCTCTGTCTCTCTGTCTCTCTGTCTCTCTGTCACTCTCTCTCTCTGTCTCTCTGTCTCTCTGTCTCTCTGTCTCTCTGTCTCTCTGTCACTCTCTCTCTCTCTCTCTCTCTCTCTCTCTCTCTCTCTCTCTCTCTCTCTCTCTCTCTCTCTCTCTCTCTCTCTCTCTCTCTCTCTAACTCTCTCTCCATCGAATCCCCTCCCACTCCCCTCCCTTTCCTTCTTCCCTGCCTCCCTCCCTCCCTCTCTGTGTATCTGTTGTCTGTGTGTCTGTCTGTCTGCTTGCCTGCCTGTCCGTCTGTCTTTCTCCTAGGCAGATTATCAATTTATTTTCCTATCTATTTTAGGGGTCTTACCTAAAGGAGTAAAGACCGGACAAAAAGGAAGAGAGATTGGGAAGGAAACCGAAAAAAGAGTGAATGAAAAAGACAGTGAAGGTGTTAACGTTAAAGAAGAAATCAGAAAAAGTGGAAAAGAAGAGGAAGAAGGGGGACGGACAGGAAGAAGCGGGGAAGGAGAGGGGGAAGATGACCTTGTCACACGTCGCCTGGATTACCTACTGGGGCGCCAGGTCATCGGCGTAGCGGCGGGCAGGGGTTTCTCGCTCGCCCTTGTAGACCCCTTGGACCCGCCGGACCCCTCCGAAGGGACCCCGCTCGCGGACCACCCCCAGACGCTGGCGGGCGGGGCGTCGCCGTGCAGGCTGTGCAGCCCGGGCACGGCGATGCCGGAGGGCTCAGACAACGATGGGGACGGCGAGGGCGGCGCGAGGGATAGGTGTCCCCTGGGGCTCTCCTTGTCGCCCAGAAAAGAGAAGGAGGCCGGAAGTGACGCGAGGAACGACGCCGCAGGCCCCACGCTGAGCCACGCGAGCGACCCCAACAGAAGGAAGAATTACAGTGAAGGGAGCGAGTTTGAGATCGTGGAGTGCGATGACATAGACGGGGATGAAGCAGCAGGAAGAGAATTGAACAAAGAAGTTAAAACAAAACAAGAAAAGGAGGGAGATGGAAGCGGAAGAACAGCGAAAGAGGAAAAAGGGGGAGGTGGGGGAACAGCGACGGCTGCTGCCAACAGCCTCTTCATCAACGCTGACGCGGCGCGACAGTTCATCTCAAGACAGTTATCGTGGATGACGTCCGCGCAGGAAACCAGGGACAACGAAGGTGAACAAGACGAGAAGAAGGAAGACGAAAGAGTACCTACAAAGGAGGAGGAAGGCAGAGAGGAAGAGGAGCTGGTGGCCTCGGTCGCTGCCCCGACAACTCCGAGGAAGTATGCTGACGCGGCCACGGAGCTCATTCGCGAGAATGTGGCGAGCGCGGCGACGCTGGTGGTGTCGGGTGTGCGCACAGTGGGTCATAAAGTGGGCCACAGGGTGGGCCGCCTGTCACGCCATTTCTCGGGCACCAGTGCGGAGGGCGTGGTCGAGGGGCAAGAAGAAAACGACGATGACCCGCCGGAAGAACTGGCGCCGTCCGAAGAGGCGCTGGCGCTCACCACGCTGGCTCCGGCGGCGGAGGCGTTGGATCAAGAGGGCCAGGCGGCGGAGGAGGCCGTGGCGAGCCCGCCCCGTGACGCCAGCCCTGCAGCCGGAGCAGCGTCCAGCGGCACACAGAGCCTTCCTCGGAGGCTGCGGGACCGGGGGATGGAGAGGGCGCGCGGCGCTCACGTGCGCACCGCCTCCGCGGGGGGCGCCTTCCCTTTCCTGAGGGGGCGTACCGCGGGGAGGGCGCGCACGCCCACGCCCGAAGAGGTCGTGGCAGAGGGTAAGCGCGCCCTTGGCACGGAGGTCAGTGGTTTGGGGGTATTGTGTGTGTGTGTGTGTGTGTGTGTGTGTGTGTGTGTGTGTGTGTGTGTGTGTGTGTGTGTGTGTGTGTGTGTGTGTGTGTGTGTGTGTGTGTGTGCTAGCCTTATTGTTATTATCACTTCGTTATAATTATTTTGGTTATTCTGATATGTATTGTGCTTAATATGGTTTGTTTGTAAAGGAGAATTCTATCCATCGCCCGCATAATCATGTAATTTGTGGCAGGTATGGGCATGGGGCAGCTCACACAAAGGGCAGCTGGGTACTGGCGACCTGCGTGCCCTGCGACCCACGCCAACATGCCTCTACACCCTGAACCATTTAGGCGTGGCACAAGTGGTGTGCGGTGACGCCCACTCCGCCGCCAGGACACTTGACGGTCAGGTGCGTCTCTTCTCGGTTTTGCTCTTGCTAAGTGATTCTTATGCTATTTGGAGAAAGAGAGAGAGAAAGAGAGAGAGACAGACAGACAGAGACAGACAGAGAGAGAGAGAAATAAATAGATAAATAAATAAATTAGTTAATTGATTACTAAAAAAGAAAGGAAGGAAGAAAGAAAGAAAGAAATATTTTCTGATTCTCTTTTTAGTTATGCCATTATTCCCTCTCGTTGTAGGTCTACGTTTGGGGCGACACTTCCTCCGACCAGCTAGGCCCTCCTCCTCCGCCTCCTCTCCCTCTTTCTTTTCCTTCTCCTTCACTTCTTCGTCGATCTTCTCCATATCCTTCCCCTTCTTCCAACCGTCGCTCTTCTCCAGTTTCTTCATCTTCTTCCAATTCTTCTGCTACTTCCTCTTTTTGCTCTATATCTCCTCATTCGCAAGGGATTAAATATCCCCAACGTCTGCGATTACCCTCCGAAGAGGACGAAGAGGAAGAAGAGGAAGTTGAAGAAGATAACAAAGTGGAAGCGGAAGAAGAAGACAAAGAGGAAAAGGAAGGTGAGAAAACTGGAGAAGAGAGGCGAAAAGACGAAAGAGAAATAGCGAAGAAATGTATTAAACAAGACGAAGGGAGAAAACAAGAAAGAAAAAGAAGAAAAAGAGAAATGCGGAGAGGGGAAGAGCTCGCGGTGGACATCGCAGCCGGGAGGGACTTCCTGCTCATCGCCACGATCACCGGAAGGCTCCTTTACGTCGGCGCACTCAGGTTAGGCCCTGCGGCAGCCACCCCGACGGGCGCGGGCGTGGTCGCTTTGTCAGTAGTGAAGCAGGCGCGGGCAGGCGCTCGCGTCGGAAGTGGAAGTCAGGCACAGGCACCGTTCGGAGATTTATAGGCAACCTCACTGGAGATTCATAATGCTAATATATACGTTGTGAGAGAGAGAGGAGAGAGAGAGAGGAGAGAGAGAGAGAGAGAGAAAGAGAGAGAGAGAGAGAAGAAAGAGAGAGAGAGAGGAGAGAGAGAAAGAGAGAGAGAGAAGAGAGAGAGAGAGAGAGAGGGAAGAGAGAGAGAGAGGGAGAGAGAGAGAGACCGAGGAGAGAGAGAGAGACCGAGGAGAGAGAGAGAGACCGAGGAGAGAGAGAGAAAGAGAGAAGAGAGTGAGAAAGAGAGGAGAGAGAGAAAGAGAGGAGAGAGAGAGAGAGAGAGAGAGAGAGAGAGAGAGAGAGAGAGAGAGAGAGAGAGAGAGAGAGAGAGAGAGAGAGAGAGAGAGAGAGAGAGAGAGAGAGAGAGAGGGGGGGGGGAGAAAGAGAGAAAGAGGGAGAGAGAGAGGAGAGAAAGAGAGAGAGAGGGGAGAGAAAGAGAGAGAGAGAGAGGAGAGAAAGAGAGAGAGAGAGGAGAGAAAGAGAGAGAGAGAGGAGAGAAAGAGAGAGAAAGAGAGAGAGGAGAGAAAGAAAGAGAGAGAGAGAGGAAAGAAAGAGAGAGAGAGAGAGAGAGGGCAGAAAGAGAGAGAGAGAGGAGAGAAAGAGAGAGAGAGAGAGGACAGGAAGAGAGAGGGCAGAAAGAGAGAGAGAGAAAGAGAGAGAGAGAGAGAGAGAGAGGAGAGAAAGAGAGAGAGGGGAGAGAAAGAGAGAGAGAGGGGAGAGAACGACAGGAGAGGGAGAGAGTGAGAGAGAGAGAGAGGTGGGGGGGAGAGAGAGAGAGAGAGAGAGGTGGGGGGAGAGAGAGAGAGAGAGAAAGAAAGAGAGAGAGAGAGAGGTGTATTCTGTTTTCTTTCATTCTTTATTCTCTTATTCCTAGGAAGGACGGACCTTCTGTCATCCGCCAGATCCCTGTCGGCTGCTCAACGACGAAGATAACGTCCGTTCTGGCGCATGGAGACAGCGTCGTGTGTGGCGCCAGCGATGCACATCCGCAGGTTGGTCTTTGTTTCCTTGAGTTTGGAGAAATCAATCAAGGAATGAACAGTTGAAGTAATTTGGCGAAGCTTACAGCCACAAATCTCACCGAAGATATTCCGTACAAGTAAAGTTGGAAGTGAGTCATTTTTTACAGTCGGGTACCAATGAAAGGTCAGCACTATAGTGGATGTGTTTTCTGCACCTGACATCACTACCCAGAAACTTTAATGTGTGCTGTACCTGGCAGTCAACATAGAATTATGTGAAGTGACGCTGTGGACACTTAATTAACAAAGTGAAAGTCAGCACTAGAACGTGATCATTATAATTTAGTACACATTCAGTAACTGCGTCATAGAGGGTAATTTGGCATTTATGAAAGAATGATCAGGTCTTGTGACCTCTAGACACTGACCTTCAGTGCATCAACAAATTAGGAAGAAAAGGACATAAAAATTCCGATTTTTACGATGGTTATGATTACCTCCCTAACAATTTGAATTTTGGTGACTTTCCCTGAAAGGGTTTATTGCATTGCATATGGATATTTAAAGGTCGGCATATGCAAATCCTTTATTTCAAAATGAGCAAATAACTCCCATGTAGAAAAAAACATCATATTAATTTCGCCATGCCCATTGTAATACAAGTTTATTTATGGTATTTACACATAGATGGCTCTATAAGTGCTTAGTCAGATCAGGAAAAGTAAAGTGTAGAAGGAAAGGGAAGATGTTATTGTTATTGTAAAATAGTTTTTGGAAATGTTGAAATTTCATTGGAGAAAACCCAATAATGATTTGGACACATGAAACTACTTGCATAGAATTAAAATGGTGGTACCCATGCCATTTCAAAATATTCCCTGAAAAGAAAAAACTGGGACAGTCACCTTTAACTGTATTTCATGTTTTATGATGTTCCTTTTCAAATTTAAATTATTCTCCCTCTAAATCGCAGGTGCTCGAGTTCCTGGTGTCCGAGTCCCGCTATCTTGCGCTCATCAAGTTCTGCCACTTGAACCTCCTCAAGGCTTTTGTGCCACTCTCGCCTGCAGGTACGCACTTTCTTCTCCAGGTCTCTCTCTCTTTCTCGTTCTCTCTCTCTCTCTCTCTCTCTCTCTCTCTCTCTCTCTCTCTCTCTCTCTCTCTCTCTCTCTCTCTCTCTCTCTCTCTCTCTCTCTCTCTCTCTGTCTCCCTCTTATTTGTTAGGGCTCTCACTACATGTCTTGCTACCTTCTCTCAGCCGCGACAAGCTTTGTCTCACTAATTGTCTCTCCTTGCCTACTCCTTTTTTCACTCCCCCATATCTGTTTTAGCCCATTCTCTCTACAAATTGTTTAACCTCTGTCTGACTTGTCATCATTCTCTCACTAGTTTTATCTCTCCTTCTCTCTCTGTCTGACTTGTCATCTCTCTCTCTCACTAGTTTTATCCCTCCTTCTCTCTCTGTCTTACTTATCATCTCTATCTCTCACTAGTTTTACCCTCTTTTACCAGATGTTAAATACAGAGGATGAATTCATTTTTCGCTTAGGCAAGGTAGCATTATTGCCTCATGATGCACGAGGCAAACCGTTTCCACACACACACACACACACACACACACACACACACACACACACACACACACACACACACACACACACACACACACACACACACACATATGTGTATATATATATGTATATATATGTATTATTTTATATATATTTGTGTGTGTGTGTATGTATGTGCATGTGTATGTGTATGTAGGGCGATCGCCCGTCGCAAACGGCCAGGCCTGTGGCATGCTCTCCCAGCCAGCTCTGTCAGGTGCTTTGGCTTCCCAGTCTTAGGGGGAGATATCACAGGCCTTGAGAGTTGTTAAATCATCTTTGTACACACACACACACACACACACACACACACACACACACACACACACACACACACACACACATATATATATATATATATATATATATATATATATATATATATATATATATATATGTATATATGTATATATATATAGATAGATAGATAGATAGATATATAGATATATATATATAGATATAGATATAGATATAGATATATAGATATATATATAGATATATAGATATATATATAGATATATATGTGTGTATATATATGTATATATATGTATATATATGTATATATTTTTATATATATTTATATATATTTATATATATTCATATATATTCATATATATCTATATATGACACAAACACAGTAACGTGAACACAAAAATGAAAGGAAAACTGCCACAGTAAGAAACGTTTCGTTTCTTACTGTGGCAGTTTTCCTTTCATATTCATATATATTCATATATCTTTATATATATATATATATATATATATATATATATATATATATATATATATATATATATATATATATATATATATATTCATATATATTTATATATATATATTCACATATTCATATATATTCATATATATATATATATATATATATATATATATATATATATATATATATATATATATATATATATATATATATATATATATATATATATATTCATATATGTGGGACGAGGACAGGCATGATCGCATGGTTGAACTGGCCATAGCCGAAGGCCCGGGCGAAGCCAGAACTTCGCAAATCGCAATCGCATCACAGCTGATTCCTTAGGCGTAGGAGTCACAACCTGCTGATGTGCAGGCTGTTGGCCTTTCAGGAGAGTTGCATCTGTATCTGTGTCTGCATGTAGGCCAGCTGGTACTCTTACTTGCACTCCCAGTCGGTCCATAAGACCTAGTCCACCAGCTGCAGCATTCCCAGAATCAGACAGTGCTCCTCCTGAGGAGGTTCCAACCTTGGGTCTGGTTGAGCAGGTAGTTTGTCCTGGGGGCCTACATCCTCTGGTGTCGGTGATCAAGACCCTGGCTGTGTCATCTTGTTGCAGGGCATGGCAAGTAGCACTGTGGTCTGTGAGGTGTGTATATACGGTACAGACCCAAACCTTCCATGTCACATTGAAAATTGTCAATCAGGTCGTGACACACTGGCGGACAAGAGCACTTTTTATTTTGAAATATTCAACACCCATTGAATATTTCGAAAGGTACCACAGCAGTAAAATACCAAAGACAATCATCACACATCCAGAGCACTGGTAATAAGATAAAAATATAAAATGGGTAAAATGGCAAAAGTAGAAAAAAGAACATGAAGATGTCAAATGTAAAATACTATAAAATTGAAAAAGTAAAACCTGAGATGTAATAAACATGAGAAGGAAAATGTAAAACTGCTAAAACACTATAAAAGTACTTCTGAAAAGAAAACCCCATAAAGAAATCAGGCAGCATAACCTGCTAAAACAGTAAAAGTACCCCTGACCAAAAATCCAGGAAGAATCCATGAAAAAAATTTAAAGTAAAAATTTAAGCACTAAAAGAAATATAAAGAGACATGGGCAGGGAGATACACAAAACCTCACTATCCCATCACGTGGGTCGTGAGTCATAGGGTATGGACATGGGAGGAAAGCCGGACCAAGATTACCTCCTAGGCCTGCATGAGTTGAGAGATACCATTATCCATTTTCCACAGCTTTATTGATGTCATACTAGGTAAAATATCACAGCTGGGTTCAAGCATGATAAAGAGTACGTGTGATGATAAGGAACACGAAAAAAGGCACCAATAACATAAATGCAGGAGTTCCCCAGCCCACATTCACACCTTTTCACAACTGAGGTTGCCCGCCAATTTCCGGCCGTAGCGACTTCACCGCTCACTTAGAAAAGGAGTTACCACCCATCCAATTTGTGAAAGGGATTGGGTGAGGACTAGAGCTCTCTTGCACCTGAAATTCTCTGTATATTCTACTGGACACATCGCTCAGCGCTTGCTCCCATATAGCTGTGTTATGTTCCTTTATCCGCGTGTACACTTCATCGATAAAGAGTTAAAGGAATAGCCTAAAACTGGTGCACTATTTTGCATCCACAGTTGGCCTAGGTTATTATTTATCCATTAATAAAATCAAATTGAAAATTTAGACCCGGATAATAAAAATAAACATGATTATGTAAGCCCACAAAATTCGTCTGCCTTAAAAAACGACCAGTGGCGCCACCACGTTGCGTGACGTCATACCTTGTATAGCCATTGTCCTACAACATGGCGAGCAACAAGATTACAGCGGTTCCAGTGAAGTTGAAAGTGAAAGATCTATTGATTCTGTGTCTACAGAATCAATAGATCTTACTGGTGATGAACTAGAAGATAGGGAGCTGGAAGTAGGAGGAGAATTGGTGAAAGGATACCAATTTGAGCCATGTTATAGGCCGAATCTGACGACTCGTCTTCCTCCTTCATTAACGCATTCGCAATGTTTAATTGTTTTCACACATAGATGGCTCCACTTGTATTTGTACTGCTTGTCTCTTCTGTTTACCCTTTTCTTTAATTTACGAAATTATTTCCCCCCCAATCCCTTGCCCGTTGTCGTGGGGGGGGCTTAGGAGGCGGAGACTGGGACCCAATGATGGGGAACTCCCCAACCTTGGGACTCAGCCCTCGACTCAACTAATTATGCATGGTCTTTTTTTTTTTCCCTTCCCACTTTTGTTTCTGTCCCTTCACCAAACCCTTCTGCTATCCACCTCCTAAGGTGTGAGAGCCATGCTGAAAGGATGAAAGGCTGACTTTGTGCCAGTCCTGAACGGCCTGAGGGAGCCATGGGCACGGTATTCCCCTGATTTAGTATCTAGCCCTTACCCCTCAAGGGGACCCTGAGGGGTGGACTGTTTTTATCCCCAACATAACCAGGCTTACCATGGCCAGTAATGAAAATATATCCCCACTGTTAGGGGCAATGAGGCTTGCCCCTTTATCAAATAGCCCCAAAGAAGTAAACCCACCCGATTCCCCGACCCCAGGCTCTCCTTTGACCACGGCTCCAAACACTGCAATAACTGCCCCTTCACCAATGCCTACTAGTACAGTAGCCAACAATCAACCCTCAAGGAACATTTCCACTCTCCCAGCATGCCCAACTTCAACACCTCTACCCCCACAACCTCCAACATCAACCACCCCATCCTCCCTTATTAATACCTTACAGCCTTATAGCCCACCTCTCCATAACACTACCTCCATCAACACTACTCCATCTTCGTCACGCCCTCGCCCTTCTACCACCCCTATCTCTAAAACAATCTTGAATACTCTCTTTAGTGCAGCCAAATGCTGCACTAAATCCCTCCCACAGCTCCCTACTCTGACAACACCCTTCTCTTCCAACAATGCCTCCAAAAACAAGTAGGTAAAGTCTCTTTCCGTAGCCGACCCGACCGCTCCCGTCTTGTAACAGTAACATCCGAAAACCAAGCCATAGCATTAACAAAACTAACTGACCTATATGGTAACCCCATCCTAGCAGAACCCCATCCAACCCTCAATACTTGCACCGGAACAGTCTCAATCTCACCAACAAATTGCCCAATCTATGACAAAGATTGGTCAGATTGTGGAGATCTACTTGCCTGTCTCACAGACTACGATGCAACATCAGTACAATGCTATTCCATCCCCCCCAGAGGTCATCGAAAGAAACCCACTAACATAGCCAAAATTACCTTCCGTAGACATGACCTTCCCTTTAACGTCTACATAGGAGGAGAATCCCTCCCTGTTCGTCCATACCAACCTCCTCCACGTCAGTGCCAAAATTGTTGGCGTCTAGGACACCCAGCCAAACACTGCCGTTCCACAGCCAGATGCCCATTATGTGCCCAACCTGGCCATATCCGATCTAACTGCTCTGCACAATCACGCACATGTGCCAACTGTGGCGGCCCCCATAATGTATTTTATAGGGGCTGTCCCACCTACAAATTTGAAGCTGAGGTAGCAACTCTCAGATTCAAACTCGGACTCACACTGCGTGAAGCCAGACAGGAAGCACGTCGACGTGGATTCTCTCTTACTCCTTACTCCAGTAATACTGCTCATTCTAACACTTCTCCTAAACCCAACCTTCCTACATCTAACCCCCCCACTAACCCCACCTACCTTCCCCAGTCAAACTCTTTTGCCATCCTAAATCCAGAAACTCCAATCTCTACTACAGATACTCCAATCACCACTACAACCCCAACACCTTCCCCTCTCCCTCCTCGCACTCCCCGTAACAGACAGAACAAACGTTCCACCCCCTCTTCCCCTACCACACAATCACCTCCACCATCCTTTGCCCCCACTCTTGAGACACCAGTCCTCTCTTCCCCCCCTCACAAGAAATCCTTTATCCCCCAAAACTCCCCAACCAGCTCCACAGAAGAAACTATTGAAAATATTCAAGATTACTTAATGAAAACTGACACTCAACCTACAATTCCTGCTCCTTCTACACTCCAAGTAATTGCTGATATCCATCCTCCTCCTAACGATATCCCCCCTACACCCTACCCTCCTACCCCCTCCCAACACAGCCCATCCCCCCTGACCCCAACCCTGCCCACATTAACTCTCCCACCATCCCCTCTATCCCTTCCACTCCCTCCTGGATACATACGTGAATCCCTTATGTCACAAGTATCCCCTTCCTCAGACCCTCCATCTCCTAATACCCCTCCTGATAGAACACCAACTCCCACATCTCTCCCATCTCAAACCTCTCAGTCCACCCTCTAGCTGCTTCCCCTTCAAATTCTCCAACACGTACTACAATCTATATCACTAAATCAACGAAAGTATAACTATCCTTCATTGTTCGCGGTTTCCGCTCCCACAGACCTGACCATCATATCCTTTCCTCTTGTAACCCATCTATTGTATGCCTTCAAGAAACCTTTCTTATGCATACCCTTTATCTAATATAACACCCGACCTTAACCCTTTCACTCACTAATTCCTTTGCCCAACTTAGACAACTAATCACCAACTCAACCACCCTTCACTAACATTAACTATAGTGCTACATGACCTTAGATGTCTAGCACATTTATCTTGCTTTTAACCATTAACCATTAACCATTACGAAATTATTTTGCGTTATCTTATTTTGCTGTTACTAATGTTTATACCGTTATAGTAATTATAATGTTTATAATAAAAATAACCATCGATATTCATAGCACTAGTAAAAATACATTTTCCCGCCAATTCAAGTAAAGGTGAAATCAGGTAAGGCAGAGCCATCTAGTGTAGAGAAATTTCATTAAAAAATATAAAAAATGAGCACAGCATTTTCCCCATTTTTTGTTCATTTTTACCCGGCGCGAATGGGTTAACTTTATGCGCATCCAATTCTCGAGTGCCTCCATCTTTCCTCCGTCGTTTGGTGCGGGCTAAAATTGTCACCAGACATTGAAATTTGTCACAATAAATGCACAATAATGGCTGATCTCCTGACCCATATACACGGTACTAGGCCACACCCGTATGGAGGCGCCACCGGCAACATTTTGTAGCAGACGGATTTCAGGAGCAAAAATGCTAGATAAAAAGGGCTATAAAGTCTAGTTTTGTGAATGAATTTACAAAATGATGCCTTGGGATGTTTATTTAGATTATTTATTTTGCAAATAAAGTAAAAAAAAAAAAAAAAGAAGACGACATTCTACTACCCTCTGGACTGTTCCTTTAAGCCGTACTAACCTAGCACTGTCCAACCAGTCATTTCTGTTATATCTTCAATAAAAACCTGTCACTTCACAGTGAACAATATATAAAACGATTATATAATGTAGGCATTTTTTTTAATTTCCTTAAATAACCTAGGCTGGACTCTGATCTTAGTTATGAAAAAAAAGGTATTGCCCATATCCCTCAGATTCATTTGTGGGTTGACGGACAGGGTGAGGGCGTGTTCTTGTAATATTTTGAGAACCCCTTGTAATATGAGTGTTAAGATTAATCTGAGTAATATAGGTTTGTCTTTGTTAAGCAGAGTACTCTGACAATTCACGTAGTTTCATGTACTTTGAAAGCATCACTTCTTTGGGGTAAACATTCGACCAGAGTCGTTGTTGCTTTTTTTTTATTAATACCATTATGTGCACTGTTAGGACTATTCTATTGTGATATCCTTTCCTATGTGAATATTCATTGGTGGAACGATTATTATTGTTGGATTACTAGTTTCCCCCCATGAACGTGAGGTTGACAACTCAGTTTGTCTTGCAGGCGAAACGAAACACGTCCAGGATGCGAGGAGGGTGCTCTCCCTTGCCTTTGAAGACCTTGTCTTTTCTGTGGCAGCATCCCTCAGAGTGTCCTTGTCGGCATTGTCCACGGCCTCCTCATCTGCATCCTCTGTGCGTCCCCATTTATTGGGCATTGTTACACAGGTGAGTAGGAGAGAGAGAGGTAAAGGAATTAAATATTTAACAAAAATGTGTATTTAAATTTCAGTGTGATATCCATGAAACCCAGGAGTCCCGTCCTGGTTCGTCAAGAGAGTGAACATAACTCCTTTGATGCTGGTGAGGGATACAGGCGCAAAGGACCTGATGAACCACTGGGAATTCAAATTCCCTTAAGTGGTAGGAAGGGGAGAGATTTAAATGATTTATTGGTTTGTTCCACCGTGATAATCTCTTTCCGATGTTCAGCCCAGTCATAGAATGATACTGAAATTAACCAATGACAAATCATGAAAATACAAAATGTAAAAGGAAATGTGCTGAGGATACGTAATATTGCAAAAACTGCCGCATTAAAAACCTTAAGGAAAGAACTTGCAAAGAGGAGAGTCTGGCTGAAGGCCTCACCATTAAAACAAAGACAAACCAGCAGTCTGGCGTCACAGCTGAAAGCTTTAGAAAATACCCAATCCTAAAAGTCAGCTAAGGCATCATAAAATAAGGGTCTGGTGAAGCTGAACAAGAAAGCTAAGGGAGACTAAAAGATCACTCGAAATTCCTACTATTAAAGATTTAAAAGTTCATCAATAAAAAGATGATCAGATTATTCAACAAAAATGTTCTGAAGATCACGTCCATTTCCTAAGCAAACAATGTCACTACTTATATTATCATCTTTCCTGATCGCCTCTCGTTGTTCACTAAAATATGGCGACACTGCCAGTTATTCACCCATCATACCTAAAACACACAAATAAAATGGACAAAAGAAAACTGAAAACAGAAAAAAATGCGATATACTTTAAAGATCAAACAAATGATATGCGCAAAATGGATTTATAAAAAACGATCATTGAAAACCATACATAAAGATGGAAACTGGAGCAACACAAT